CACCCGGGACTGGGTAATCTATAAAGGAAAAAGGTTTAGCTGACTGACAGTTCCACAAGGCTGGGGAGGCCTCACAATCATGGCAAAAAGCAAAGGAGGAGCAAAATCATGTCTTACATGGTGGCAGCTGAGAGAGCTTGTGTAGGAAAACTCCCCTTTATAAAACCATAAGCTCTCATGAGACTTATTCAACTATCACCAGAACAGCACAGGAAAGACCTGCCCCCATGATTTAATTAACACTCACTGGTTCCCTCCCACAACACATGGGAATTATGGGAACTACAAATCAAGATGAGATTTGAGTGAAGACACAAACCATCTCATTCTGCTCCAGCCCCTCCCAAATCTCATGTTCTTGCATTTCAAAACCAATCATGCCTTCCCAATAGTCCCCCAAAGTCTTAACTCATTTTAGAATTAACTCAAAAGTCCACAGTTTCATCTAAACAAGGCAAATCCCTTCCACCTGTGAGCACATAAAATGAAAAGTTAGTTACTTCCTAGACACAATGGGGGTATAGGTATTAGGTAAATACACCCATTCCAAATGGGAGAATTTAGCTAAAACAAAGTGGCTACAGGCCCCATGCAAGCCTGAAATCCAGTGGGTGGTCCTTAAACCTTAAATTTCCAAAATGATCTCCTTTGACTTCGTATCTCACATCCAGGTTACGCTGATGCAGGAGGTGGGCTCCCATGGCCTTGGGCCGCTCTGCGCTTATGGCTTTTTAGGGGATAGCCTCCCTCCAGGCTTCTTTCACAGTTGGTGTTGAGTGTCTGTGGCTTTTCCAGGTGCATGGTGCAATCTGTCGGTAGACCCACCATTCTGGGGTCTGGAGGATGGTGGCCCTCTTCTCAGCTCCACTACACAGTACGTCAGTAGCGACTCAGTGTTTGGGCTTGCACCCCACATTTCCCTTCTTCACTGTTCTAGCAGAGGTCCTCCGTGATGGCTCTTCCCCAGCAGCAAGCTTCTGCCTGGACAACCAGGCACTTCCATACATTCTATGAAATCTAGGCAGAAGTTCCCAAACCTCAATTCTTGACTTCTGCGCACCCATAGTCCCAATACCACTTGTAAACTGCTAAGGCTTGAGGCTTGCACCCTCTGAAGAAACAGCCTGAGCTGTTCATTGGCTCTTTTTAGCCATGGGTGGAGCTGAAGCACCTGGGATACAAAGCACCATGTCCTGAGGTTGCATAGAATAGGGAGGCCCTGGGCCTGGCCCACGAAACCATTTTTCTTGCCTAGGCCTCCTAGCCTGTGATGGGAGGGACTGCTGTGAAGGTCTCTGACATGCCCTGGAGACATTTTGCCCATCATCTTGGCGATGGAGGAACATTTGGATCCTGGTTACTTATGCAAATTTCTGCAGCTGACTTAAAATTTTCCCCAGAAATTGAGTTTTTCTTTTCTACTGCTTCATCAGGCTGAAAATTTTCTAAACTTTTATGCTCTGTCACCTCTCAAGTGCTTTGCTGCTAAGAAATTTCTTCTGCCAGATACCCCAAATCAACTCTCTCAAGTTCAAAGTTCCACAGAACTTTAGGTCAGGGGCAAACCCTACACCAGCCTCTCTGCATAGCAAGAGCCATCTTTACTCCAGTTCACAACAAGTTCCCCATCTCACTATCAGCATTTTGGTCAAAGCCATTCAATAAGTCTCGGGGAAGTTCCAAACTTTCCCATATATTCCTGTCTTCCTCTGAGACTTCCAAACTGTTTCACCCTCTGCTTGTTACCCAGTTCCAAAGTTGCTTTCACATTTTCGGATATCTTTACAGCAGCATCCTACTCCACTGGTACAAATTTACTTTATTAGTCTGTTCTCACACACACTGCTAATAAAGACATACCTGAGACTGGATCATTTATAAAGGAAAGAGGTTTCATTGACTCACAGTTCCACATGGCTGGGGAGGTCTCACAATCGTGATGGAAGGCAAATGAGGAGCAAAGCTATATCTTACATGGTGGCAGGCGAGAGAGCTTGTGTAGGGGAACTCCCCTTTATAAAACCATCAGATCTTGTGAGACTTATTCACTATCAAAACTCTCCTTGTCTTCTATTTCTTATAGATATATGCCAGCTGCTTTGTTTTCTCACATAACTCTGGTGAAGAGAGGCTAAAAATACATCTTCTCTTGTCCAAATGCATTTATATCTCTAATCTTGCTTCGTTTCTAGGAATGGCATTTTTAAACCATCTAAATGTATCGAATACATTTAGACATTGAGATGTGTCTGGTCATACATCTCCTTGTCTGCCTTCCTCCCTGGAATGTAAACTTTGTGAGGACATGGACTTTGCCCATTTTGTCTTTTTTTCGTTTACTTTCCTTTTTAAAATTGATATATAATATTTACACACGTTTATGGTATACATGTAGATGGTATTTTGATAAATGCATATGATGTGTAATAATCAAATCATGTTATTCAGGATATCCATCACCTTGAACATTTATCATTTTTTTTTTTTTGGAAACATTTCAAATTTTCTCTCCTAGTTATCTTGAAATATATAATACATTGTTGTTAACTACAGTCACCTTACCGTACTAACAAATACTACAACTTACTCCTTTTATCTAACTGTATATTTGTATTCATTAACCATACTTTCTTCATCACATTCCCTGTTCCAACACCCTTCCCAGCCTCTAGTAATCATCATTCTACTTTCTACCTCCATGCAGAGAAAAGGGAATTCTTACACACTGTTGGTGGGAATGTAAATTATAATGTAAACAATAAGGAAGTTTCTCAAAAAAACTAAAAATAGAACTATCACATGAACCAGCAATCTCACTACTAGGTATATTTACAAAGAAAATGAAATCAATATGTTGAAGAGAAAGAGATATCTGCACTTTTATGTTTATTGCAGCACAACACAATAGCCAAGATATGGAATCAACCTAAGTATCCATCAGTGGATGAATAAAGAAAATGTGGCATATATACAAAATAGAATCCCATTTTGTTTGTTTGATTCACTGTTTAGTGCCTAAAAGCTTGAGAGATTTGGAGATTACTTCCAAGAATTGGGAGCTTAATAAATATTTTCTTCATGAATCATAAAATCAGTAAATTTTTATGTTTCTTACAAGTGGTGTAGAAGAGTGATGTGACTATTAAATTATATTTTTAAACAGCTTTATTGAGATATAATTGACATATAAAATTACATATATTTCAGACATACAACTTGACATTTTGATATACGTATATGTTGTGAAATGGTCACTACAATCAAGCTAGTTAACACATCTATTACTTCTACATTGTTACCATTGTGTGTGTATATATGTGTGTGTGTTTGTGTGCGTGTGTGTGCGGGGAGGGGGTAATAAGATTAAATTGAAGCTGTATCCCCTCAGCAAATTACAAGTATCCATACAATATTATTAACTGTCATCATTATGCTGTACAGTGGATACCCAAAAATTATTTATCTATTGTTAGGTTACTGAAAAATGACCATGTTTAGTGACTTTTCTTCAACTTGGTTTTGATCTCAAATTGTGAATTGAAGTTTTACCTAGGAGCTTTGATGCTGGAACTTAGAAAGTTCAGCTTGAATCATGCAATTATTAAGCTCTTAAAGTCTTAAGATAACTTTGTGTAAATCATACTAATCTTAGATCATATTTTTGACATTTTTAACATTGTATTTCATCTTTTGTATACAGATGTGCCAGATAGTGGAGTCTTAGAATAAAAGAATCATATTTGTTTTATTTTTGAATAGATTTGCTGTAGCACATGCTTAGTACTTAATAAAATATTTACCAAATGGGTAAATGAATGAATGAATGTAGTGTACAAAAGCATACATAGTTGAACATAATTTTTTTGTTTTATTCTCTAACTTGCAAATTATAAAACTTATTTAATCAAAACCCTCTTGAACAACTATGCAGTGTAAATACAACTAGACTTGGAGTCTAGTTTTTTCTGTCTTACTATCCTAACTCTGTCCTTAATTTTCAATTTTGTATTTTTACTAAGTCACTTAGCAACCTTAGGCCATAATTTCTTCGTGGGAGTACCCCCATGATACTAATTATCTCAAAAAATGTAGAAATAAAAAAGAGTATCAAACTGTTTTTTAAAAAGCTTAGACATATGCTGTGAACTGTAATAAACATTATACTATTTTAAATAATTTTTATATTTTCAAAATTATTTGAGCCTTACTTAAGAAAAGTAAGTAGTCTACATAATGGTGACATACTACTGTCTCCCTTCCTGCTTAATGAGGTAACGTATGTGTCTGGTTCATAATAAAGACTCAATAAATGGTAGTTGCCATTGTTGTATTAACTATTTTATAGCCTACCCATCCAAACTTGAAATTACATTTCTTTCTTCACTCAGTCGTCATTTCGAAGGAAAAATTTTGTTTTTAAATATGTTAGATATTCACACATTTCTTTTCATCTCAAAGGAAAAAAACAACTTCCTTTCAGAATATTATAAAACCCTGAGTACATCTTTTTAATGAAAACTCCATTAACTTCCTACAACATACTAAATACCCCTCCTCATTCTTTAGAATCAAATTCCACATAAAATCTAGGGTCCTCTTCTTATAACTCCATTTTCTTAGAACTCTCTGTCTTCCAAAGTTACCTCTGGCCCTTTCAGTGGGGAATGCAAAGGAGGTGTGATACTTTTCTTTGCAGAGCTAGCGAACAACTGAAGGGAAAAAGAAGGTCATTTAGCAGTAGTTAATCAATACAAAAAGCATCAATTATTTTAAATTTCAGCTTCTTGTTCTGATATTTTAATAGGAAGAAGTTTTAACCAAACACATTAATCACAGAGTAGAAGGCCAGATGCCATAGCAGAAACATGTAATACCCTTAGCACTCATAACTATCGTATAATTCTACAAGGAGCTCAAAGGTTTACAGTTTTCAATGTTTTTACATTCTGAGAACCTGAAGAACACAAACATGTATGGTAAGTAGTAAATTGCCTACTCACGAGGATATAACACAAGGAATGTGGCCAAGTCTGTTGGCTTGGTGATGTTGCGCTGCTGAGTATGCTGGTCCGTTTCATACTGAACAAATAATCCAAATAAAACAATCATGAAAATTTCCAGGCCTATGGCTACAAGAGGGAATTTGAACCTCATGTTTGTGGCAAAGGACAGAGGCACACTGAGAGCTTCACAGGCTGTGAGATGTTGATAAGAACAAAGGACTGCTCTGTGTGCGGAATTTTACTGCATGTTCAAGAAACCCCGATGACATCACAAGAAAAAAAATGGGCAAAACTGGTTAAAATGCTCCACCCACTGAGGAAAATTATGCTCTGTAATCTAATTGTTGTTCCAAATGTTGATTTGAAGAATATGCAACGAACTTGTGAGAAGCTGGATGATGCCAATGATCTACCGCGCAGATCTCTAGAATCACGTTTAACTTAGTTTAGTAGACATTTCTTGAGGGCTTATTGTACACCAAACATTATGGTAGGCTTTGTAGAAGCCACGAATTTAAAGAAAAAGATAGAATTGGCCTATTAACTTCTTGAGGAAATTAAGGATCTAGTTGGGAAAACATAAATATAAACAAATGATTATATAAAAACACATTAAGTGATATAATAGTGGTTATGAAAGTATTAGAAAACATAAATAAGGCAGTGATACTTTTTGCCTTAGGCCAAGAAGATTAGCATATAAAATAATATCAATGTAAGAATTAAAAAATAAATAGGGTTTTGCAAGTGAAACAGATGGAGGCAATGGTATAAAGCTTGGGAGAACATGGCATGTTTTGGAAATGGCAATTAGTCAAGCAAAGCTGGAACCTAAAAGAGATGAGGAGGAAAGGAGGAAGTGGCAGAGATAATGTAATGGAGGTGGCTGTGTTGTAAAGTCCCTCACGTTCAATATTGAAGATGCTACATATTAAATCTTATCCCATGAGCAATGAGGAATATATAGGACTGTAAGGGGCAGTTTTGTTTATTTATGGTTTTTCTTGACTCCTTACTCTGATTTACACAACTGTAAATAAGGAAGTACCCAAATGGGTTGTGATATGTGTTTTAGTCTTAAACAGACAGAGACTGAACTTGAACAGGAACATAACTAATCTATCATCCTGATAGATAGTCAAGTGTAAATACGATGCAAAGCAATTCAAAACTATCATATGGGTGGAGGAATTCTTGTCTCCACTTTGGAATTGTTCTCATGGCAGAATAAACCTGTTTTTGAGAACTAAGAGTTACCAGTTAAATAAAATTTCTTTCATGAAGCCCAATTTCCAAAAGATTCTATGCAGAATTTGGAGAGAGTGTGCAAATGACTGCCACGCCAAAGTCTACATTATAACAAATATATATAAAACAAAGCACCAGGAGTTTTTGGTCTTTCTGGTATGATTTTCCACAGTAGAATGTGATATATTAGGAATAAACAATCTCTGAAATTTTATAAATATACAAACACTTTGAAAGAAATGACTATTTCCATTGTTCCTTATAGCACAGTACAAGAGGAGTGGGTTCACATGCTTAGCTATAAAAATACATGTGTACATCACACACTTTCGTTTTTGGTTTTGCAGTAGCCTAAAGAGTGTTCCAACAAATTCTAAATGCAAAATATTTGCATTAATAAACTACATATAAACTTGTGAATACCAAGTATCAAATTATAAATTGCAAGAACATGTAAACAATATCACAAATCAATATGGTTTTAAACTCTTTAATAAAAAGTGATACAACATATTAAATAACCCAAGACCTATGGCCTCTCTTCTCTGGGACATTTTCAGCAGCTCGGCAACCGCTCAACGCCTAGTGAGTAGAGGATTCTATTCATACAGGTGATGGTACTATGCTAGGACTTTGAGGGGTCCAGATTTGTTGCCTTCTTATGAATGTAGACTCTTGTATTGAAATAACCTGCATCATGCGCCATCTGGGAAAATATTTCCTTTGTTCGGCTCTTCACATAAGCTGCTTTTTCTAATTGGAACTTTTCCCACATTTTCTCTGCCCCCAACCCTATATACATCAACCATCATTCTTCAGTTTTCAGATAAAATGTTACTTCCTCAGAAAAGCCCTCCTTGATTTCCCATCTTAAACCAGGGTTTCACTGTTATCTCTCATTGAATTGTGGTCTTTTGTTTGCATTTAGTATAGTTGGCTGTCTGCTGTGTGTGCTATATTTATGTAACATTTTTATTTACATGTTATTTTTAAGAATGGTTTTTTCCCTTACTGACCTACTAGCTCCACAAGAACAGGGGCTATGTCTCTTTTGCACCTAATTTGTTATCTAGAGTGAATAATACCGTGTCTAGCACAATATATAATTGATAAACATCATTTGAGTGAATTGAATTAAGGGCAGATTTGAAGGGAGAAACACTCAGCAGGCAGGCCAGCAGTGTGAGGAAGGGAGAGAGGGACAGCTTTACTCTAATACATTTTATTTTAAATTATAAATATATAGAATCCTGACAGTAGCTTTCATACTGCTGCCTACTCTCAGTATTTCAATCAGTGAGGGCTTATCATCAGGTTCTCTGTGCCTGGAACAAAAGGGAGGATGAAGCCCAAGCCATGGAGCTTGGGAGGGCCAAATTCCTGGTGCAGACCAACACATGGTAGTGTGAACCTGAAGATTTTAAAAAATCTCTCTCATGACAGTTCTGAATCACAAAGACAATTGGCTGAGGGTATGGGTGTCCTAAAGTGGAAATGATTTATCCGTTGCCTTGTCTGTTTATGAAGCTACAGAGATGGCTTTCTTCTAGTGTCTTCAGTAAATGAGGAAAATCAGAAAGAATCATGAATGGGTAAGCCATGTTCTCATGCAAACCAAACCAAACCAAATAAAACACACACCATGCAAATGAACCTTTGAGTTCCCAGCTAAATACATAGATAGAAATGAAGTATTCCTGGGTTAATGTAGGAGCCAGTGGGTTACTTGGGATCTTCAACTCGTTGATCCTCAACTTGCTGTGTGACTTTAGAAAAGAAAAAATTTCTTTGTTTTATTTTCTGAATATATGTAAAATGTAGCTAATTGTTATTATTAGAAATTTTAATTTGAGTTTATTTTTAATAGCAAAGAATAATTGAAACAGGACCACGACTGCTTTTTAAATGGCCTCTTTCTCTCTACCTTTGTATATCTGTAATGGTTGTGGAAGGTGGGAGGTATTTAGGAAGTAGAAGGTGCTAAATACTTTTAGCATTTTCTGTTCTGGACACTGTGTTAGGTGCCTATTTACCCGCCTGTATAGTCCCACTGCAATTTGATGTATTTTTATACTTTGCAAACATAGCTTGCTCCATTGGTTTATATATGTAGCTACTCAAGTGCTCAACTGCCAGATTGGTATGAGGTCCAGTGACCCCCTTCCAAAAAGAGACCTTGGGTTTTATTTAGTCTGATGGGATGGCCAGTCCAACTTCTCTTCCCAAGTGGGGAGCAGACACAAAAATTTCTTGCTGCCATATGGGATCTGGTGAAAAAAAGGTCTTTTTTTCCACAAAGGCTCTTTGCACCTTCTCGGGTCTATGGTGGATGGCCTTCCCCAGGGCGGTCTCTCCAGCTACCTGGTTGCACTCAGCATTATTTCATAGAACACTGGAACTAAGCAGGGTTACAGGACCAGAGAAATCTGCACCAGCATCTCCAAAGCAGCTTCCCAAGGCTTTGGAACTTGTCTTAAGCTAGGGACTCAACATTTTTGGGCTATGGACACTTTTGGCACAAGCCTCTGAATCCCACATCAAAATACATTTTAAATGCACAAAATAAAATACATAGGATTACTAAGGGAACCAGTTATATTGAAGTACACTGATCAAAATTCTGTAATATAAAAGAAGCACCTACACCCAACTATCAGATATAGGTGTTTCTCTATAATGGATGAAATAACAACATATAGTAGCATGTCTAATAATGAGCATAATTTCCAAGTTGGAGTAATGAGTGTGAATAATATTTTGAGATATCTGAAACAAGTAAAATAGGAGAGATTATTATTTGTGACTTCTATTAGTGACAGTTATCAATGCTATTAATGATACTGTTGTTTATTTTCCTCATTCATAATAGAAAAAAAAATTAAATTTCAGTTAAATGCACTCTTGGTTCCCTATTTAAACATATGGACCATCTGAATTCTATTTATAGAACCCCAGTTTAAAAATGCCTGTTTTAACTATGGCCAACAGCTTAATTTTTCCTTTTCTTCAGTCTCAGGAGGCTTTCTATCACTTCTTGCCCCTGGTAATTCTCATGGACATATTAGTTTATGTTAATGAATTGTCTTAACTCTGAATTCAAGGGAGATGTTAAAGAATACTGGTTAAAATCTTCTTGGGAGACCCTGTATTCTTTAGACAAGTTGATTTTTCACCTTACATATGATTAACTTTGCAGAAGAGCTAGGGGGCCTCTGAAGTGATCTTTAGCGAAGACAGCAAAACTACCTTCTTCAAGTTAGTTAAAAGAGAATTCTATAGACAGATGATAAACTTGAGGCTGAGTTTCAGCAACTTGCTCAAAGTTGTACAGCAAGTAGATGGCAGAGCCAGAATTAATACAGATTTGCCCAATTTCCTAAATTTAACTTCTTTCTGCTATGCCATATTGTTTTTCCTCTTTTTAAACCAGTATTTATTTATTTATATGGCTACATAATTGCTTGTAGCAAAATATCATGTGTACCCCATATTGTTTTTCTATGTGAGATAACTTATGTTGACACTGATCTCAAGGTACTGACAATATCAAAGAAACTTCTGAAACATAAAAAAGGAATTAAAAATTTTATAACTATTTTCTATTTAGTTTTTAATTTTACTTTAACTTGGAAAGTGCTATCAAATTAAGATATCAACTTTTCTGCTTGGAGCACTCTATTTCTCAACTAGGAGAGATGGGGATTATAGAGAAATTTTGTGTGTCTACTTTTAGTTATTCAATAGATATTCCCAAATGTAGGCTTAATTACAGAATCCTAAAATTGATATGAATTTCAAACTTTGCAGACTGAGAAAAAATACATGGATGTACTTTTAAATTTGAGCATATTGAAACTACATCTCTTTTCTTGTATGTACATATGTATATGATATATAACAGGTGTTACATATTTAAATGTAATTACATATAATTATATGTACCTATATATGTAGTTTTTCTGCTGGAGAGAGATTCACTCTTTACCTCCATGTGCATACTAAATGGACAACTGTCATCAACCAAAGATCAGGCACAAAGTATTTTCAAATATGATCATCACCATGTGTAAGTGTTGAGCTAGAATTTACATTCTGTAATGGCATCCCTTTTTTGGGGGTTGCTCTTTGCTATTTACACTTCCAGGATTTTCAGAATGAGACATCTTACCTGTAGCAACGGTGAACAGAGCCTTGAAAGTGTCAGGATTGTTGCTGAAGGTGAGTGCTTCATTAAGTACATGGCTAATATTTCCTTCTCTCTTTTCTTTCATCTTGGTTTGCTATTGTTGAACTGAAGAAATGGATTTTCTATGTAGCATACCTATCGCTTTCCTGCTTTGAAAATGGGGATAATTGCCTGACAATTCAGCTGGATGATTTATATTACTTGTTAAAAAAATTCCAGGTTTAAGAATTAGAATTCTAGACCACAGTTTTCACACAATTATTTATTTCTTCATCCATTAGATTTGAGCATCATGAGGAAAGCCAACTATTTTATTCACTTATTTTTATTTCTGGCTTGACTCACTGTGGGAAATAATTTTTTAATTTTAATTTTTCAAAAAGACTTGATTGATATATAATTCACACACCATACAATTCGCCCATTTGAAGCATAGAATTCAATGTTTTTTTGGTATATCCACAGATACATTTAACCATCACTACAATACATTAAAAAAATTCTCATGTATTTGTTAGGCATCTGTATTTCTTTTATGAATTACATGTTTGTAGATTTTGCCCATTTGCAATCTTAGAGTCTTTTTTCCCCAACATTTATTTTAGGTTCAAGGGGTGCATGTTCAGGTTTTTCATGTGGATAAGTTGCATGTCATGGGGTTTGGTGTACAGATAATTTTGTCAACCCAGGTAATCAGCATAGTACTTGATAGGTAGTTTTTCAGTCCTCACCCTCCTCCCACCCTCCACCTTCAAATAGACCTTGGCGTCT